AGCAAAGTGCTATGCAGGTAAACCTCACTTCTCTGACCTTAGAAGGTGCTCTCTGGTGACAGATGCTAGAGGCCATGGTCTTTAGCCTTCTTGTTAGAGCAACCGACTCCCATACAAAGAGTTGCCAGTTTGATCCCAGCTCAGGCCGCGATGGGTGCAGTAGGACCGGTGTAATGTAATGTGTGTATTTATATAGCTCATTTATTGTGTATGGCCATACACCCAAAGTGCTTCACAATCAAGAGGGGGGTCTCTCCACACCACAAGTGTGCAGAATCCACTTAGATGATGCAACGACAGCCACAGGACAACGGCGCCAGTGTGCTCACCACACACCAGCTATTGGTAGAGTGGAGACAAGGTGTGTTACACAAGTATGTTCATATAGCATGGCCTGTGCACACAGAGACATTTTTTGCTCACGTTTTCCATCGACGTTTAACGCCTCGTGAATAAATAAAGGGCGTCAATGTGATCGTGCACAACAATGTTTAAAACACCAGGCTGTAAGCTTAAAAAATATGACATACTTTTCCTTCTATGCTAATGAAGGACTACTGAGACATTCCAAGCATGAGATGGGTCCTCCTGGTGAGGCAGAGTTCCTCACAGCTCTGATACACATCTCTGCCATTTGCTTACAGTAACCATGTGCTCTTCACCATACACAATTCATCTGCTTGTGCTCTTCCTTCAGATAACTGTCATGTTTGGTGTCATTTGACAGTTTATGACTTCAGTGTTGTAGTGATGAAATAAACAGAGACATTGATTAATTGTATTTCAATCTACAACATATTTACTATTGTTTAGTCATGGCCTGAGGAGAGTATGTTATTGTACTTCTCCCCCACTTCATCTCTTCAACTTTGCTCTCATGTCCAGCTGGTTTTGGGGGTTGGTTTTCACTCATGTTTGACAATGCTTTGCTCAGGGTATAATAGGGAAAGGTAACTGTTGATCTGGCTTTTACTCTGCTTCTCCCGCACACCAGTGCGTAGCCTCATATGCTAACAAAGGCAGTTTCATTAGCTCCTTTCACACATACAGACCTTTCCGGAAAATTGCCGGCAATTTTCCGGAAAGGTTGTATGTGTGAACAGGTCCTTTTTGAAAACACCGGTAAATTCGTTCTGGCTATTTTCCGGAAAGAGAAGTTGTAACATTACCGGCAATTTGCCGGAATGCTTCGCTGTGTGAATGCAGATGGAAGATTACCGTAATAAGCGCGTGCACGTCTAGAATGTGCTGACGAGACGTCTGCTTTAGCCAATCACAACAGTCAGACGCATTTACGTCCGCGCGGTTTGTGAGAATAAAAGCCTTTGAATATTTTTCCAGACACATTTAGCTGCTAGAAGTTAGTCAGATCACGTTTATATGTTCACCTTAATGCCAACTGTGTAAATAATCATCGATGAGATGCTTATGATAAGCCGTTGTTTGTTTACCTTCAAGCTTTGCGTGTGCCTGTGAAACAGCCTGTGAGCGCCTGCACACGCACACATTATGAACATCTCGACATGCGAAAGTGATCCTGCGAAAGTTGTTCACAATATTGATCATCCACAGAGTTTGTAATTTAGTCAAATGTTTACAAATACAAGCGCAGCCGTTTAAAGCTCATTTGTGGTGAATGATGTCAGAATTTACCGCTATTTTGGAATGGATGTGTGAATGCTCTTTTCTGGAAAATTTCCGTAACGTCCTCGCCTGTGTGAACAGCACTTTTTTGAAAATACCGGTAAAGTCGTTCCGGAAATTTTCCAGATATTTACCGGTATCACTGTATTAAAGGGGCTACTGTCTGTTGCTTAGCAGTGCATATGTTACAGCTAATTTCTTTATACAGTATGTTAGTTTGTTTCATTCTACTGTCTGTATATTTAAACATGTAACTTAATAAACAACTTTGCCTGCTTTAAGACGTAGAGATTCTTTCTCTTTATCAATGATGTTAACAACTTTAATGGAGTCAGATTAATTACAATGGAGTCAGATAAATAATGAATTTAAACACGCCATCCTTCAACTGCTTTCTGTTTCCGATTATTGGTTCAGAATCGCAGTGTCTGCTTCAAGCCTTACAAGGCGTAAAAGCGTCATTTTTAAAACATTGCCTCATGCTCATTTTTTTTGTTTTGACAAGCCGCGTCAAAACCTTCTCCACCAATCAGATTGGCACTTTTGTTCAGGTGCACGGAGCTGCTGAAGTTACAGTAAACAGCACTTTGAGGCGCTCAAACGTAAAATTGTCAATGCGAGCACACATTGAAGATGCCCGTGGAGCTGCTTATTGCACTGGTGAACAATAATCATTTCGTCTGCACTAGAGCTGGAGCTGCAGCTTGAACCATCCATAACAACAAGCGTGTCAACTTCGTCTACTCTTCTGTGTAACAAGCGGGTGTCAGAAGCTTAAAGGGTCACGAAACACCAAAACACATTTTTTGAGCTGTTGACAGTCGTATATGTGTCCCACACTGCTAAAAACACTATTAAGACACCTATATTTCACTAAAAAGTGTAAATTGGTTGTTTTTGCGTTATTTCAAGCAAATTCGTACTTCCGGTTTGAAACTAATTTTTGAAGCTGCGTCACGGTCATGACATAATAGCATGTATTCCAGCGTGCAGACTGGGCGTCTGTGCCAGAGTGAGTCTTATTTCGTCTTACAGTGTGTTGCATTAATGCATGAGTAAGGCTTGGTTCAAACCAATCAGCGCGCTCTATTGTGCAACTTCATTAATATTCAATACTGTCAGAGTGTAGACGGCAGAGACGCCACGTTGTGTTTTCAAAACAAGCGTGAAGTGTTGCTTTTATAGTTTGCTGCAGTTAAGTTTTGTTTTCATTTTCTCTCTGTGAGAGCTCAGACTCACGTGTGGATTAACAGTGTACGCGACGCTCGACAACAATAACTTACGTGTCTAAGGAGGATTATTGTTTACCTGCGAGCTGTTCTCATCTGCAAACGCTGAGATCCAGATTCGCTTGTAGTCTCCTATAAATAAAGACGTGGCTCTAGTTGCTGGTGATTGTCCTGTCTCTACAGATTTGGTAAGTGAGCGACCAGCGCTCTTTGTTTATTCAGTTCGTATTTTATTCGTATCAAACAAACTATTGCACCGAGTGCAATATTAAGCACTAACAGTTACAACCAAACTATAACCTCGTGTTGGATTTTGTGACCGGAATAACACACGCGGCTTTCTGACGCTACCTGCCGTGTGTATCTAAGGCCCCGTTTACACTAGTGCGTTTTAGTTTTAAACAGCGTTTTAGAATGAAAACGATCCGCGTCCACACTAGCGTTTCACCCAGCGTTTCTGAACTGCTCTCCGTCCAAACCAAAACGCTGAAAACGCACATCACGTGACCACACTCACACTCTCGGGCAAGCACTGCAGCCCATATACCCAGATGAGAGCTCTGCTAGTCGGACTTCTCATTAAGCATCTCCCGCTGGATCTAATCTCACTATATTTATTAAACGGGATATTTCATTTATCTTGTTGTCTTTATCTAACGACATATTCCCTGACTTTGGGCATTGGAATCTATTACTTGTTCTCAGGTAACGTGTTTTGGCTGAGCGCAAAACCACATAGCCTATTCTGTACATTGACTGATCGCTTGCCTTTATTTCCTATAATGTATAAACTTATTGTATGTTATACTTTTATAATGGCCATTATCGATTATTAAAACTGATATTCAGCAAAAGAGAGGGTGTATTTTGTATTTTCACTGAAATTGAAAGGAGGCCGTTGTTATCGGCTCCGTTTTGTTATAAATATCCACACAGTGAAGATGACGCTCATATATGCAGTACGACGCCTAAACATGTCTGCTGTCTAAGTTGCTAATATTAAAATGAAAATAGGCAGTTCCTTAAATCATGTTTACATTTTATTGTTGAGAAAGTGAAACAACGAAGCCAGGGTGATGTGAATGAAGTTATAAAGTACACTGTTCACTTTGAAGATTTACCCGTGTCCTCGGTATAGTCTGCTTTTCCATATCAAACTGAGAAGAAGAGACTGCAGCCTTGATCAAACTTGCGAATTCTGAACTTACACGGAGAGAATGCAGGACTGAACTGTGCGTGTTAGGCTACTTAATATTCAGGAAAAGCCCCAATCAGAGAGGCGAACGTCTGCAGCCCCGCCTCCGTTTTCAGATGTCTCCGTTTTCCATCATCCACACTGAGACGGAGCAGCAGCGTTTCAGAATGAAAACGGCCTCTCCAGCGTTTTCGAAACGCTCCGTTTTCGGCGCTCGAGAACTCCGGCGTAGTGTGGACGGTTGGCGTAACCATAGCAAAACTTATGCGTTTTCAAACTAAAACTCATTAGTGTAAACGGGGCCTAAGTTTCCGGGACATGCTGAGTTTTTTTTTTTCTCTCATTCGCCGTGCGGTATCAAACATTGCTAAAAAATACACGCTTAGAGCAGCGCCTCGAATCAAATATCACGTTTGTCGGGAGGGACATAAATGAATTCCCTGAATGAAAGAGCCAAACTGCAGTTAAAGTCCACCATTTAATAATTTGGCAAAAATTCGACTACTGATGTCCATGTAAACACAGTCACATTGTCCGCTGTGGGTGTGTGTTTTGACGCTGAAATTCAGCACGCCCAAATAGACACTCCCATACCAAGCCTCTTTTCTGCCTCCGACACTCCCCCCTAAACAGAGCTGGACACGCCCACTTTTCTGACTTTTTCCAAAGTAGAGGTGTGAAAACACACTGCTGAAACGAGGGGGTTTCATGGCCCTTTAAAGTTGTGTAGTGCCGTCTAATGTCAAGGAGTGATTTTGCATACTCTTCTGTTCGACACGAGTGAAAATCGCTTCGGTTTGAATCTGGAAAAACGTCTTGAAAAACGCTGACGATAAATACAACAAAAAGCGTCCCGGTGTGTACGAGCCTTTACTAAAATAGCGGCAATTTTATGCTTTTGGAGAGTCAAAAACGTACATACAGCACGTTTAAATGTTTGCTCATTTAATACCAAACTAGCCAAAAACAACAAACTTCTTATATCAACAAACAAATATCCCTCAATCTACTCACTAGCTTCTTGTTTACCAGAAACATTAGGAATCAGAGAGCAGGACGATCCACTTTTGATTGTGTTGATGTGTGCTGCCCCCTGCTGGAGGACAGATGCACCTGCGAGAGTCTGTGCCCAGATCACATGACACATCCTCTTTATAGCCTCCATCTCCATGCTAACCTCAAGCCTCTCCGCCTCTTCGCTGACATCAAACCGCTCGATTTCCTTATTAGCCAAGCCCAGCAGGGAGGCTGGGCTTGTAGTGCTGGAGGAGGGGCAGAACTGCTGGAGGTGGATCTGCAGGCTGCAGATGTGTGTGTACCTGCGAGGGCAGTGCGGGCATTGGTGTGACTGTGGGGTGGCATGAATCCTCCTGTGGAGCCGCAGGTGGACGTGCTGGGTGAAGCTGGCAGAGCATTGCTTGCAGACATACGGCCGCTCACCTGAGTGGAGCCGCAGGTGTTTTTTCAGGTTACTGCAGCTGCTGAAACGTCTGGCACACACCTGTGCAGGAAACACACCAATCAGGTTTCACCAATCAGGTGAAAGACTTTTTAAAAACTTTATGAATTAAATTAAAGCATTAATTGGTTAAATAGTGAACAAAACAGGTTATCTCAACTGGTGATTAATTATGATTTGGTACAAAAGCAGCATCCAAGAAAGACCTAGTCCTTTAGGAGCAAAGATGGGCAGAGGATCACCAGTTTGCCAACACATACAAGAGAAAATGATTGAAATGTTTAAAAACAAAGTTCCTCAAAGAAAAATAGAAAGACATTTGGATATTTCACCTTCAACAGTGCATAACATCATTCAAAGATTAAAGGATTCTGGAAGAATTTCAGTGCATAAAGGACAATGGCACAAGCCTAAGCTGAACTACCGTGATCTGCGATCCCTCAGGCAGCACTGCATCAAGAATCCTCATTCATCATATTACTGATATCACCACAGGAGCTCAGGACTATGTTGGCAAACCATACCACAAGACATAGTTACATCCACAAATGCCAGTTAAAACTGTACTGTGCTAAAAGGAAGCCCTATGTTAACAGTGTCCAGAAGCACTGTCGATTTCTCTGGGTTCGACCAGCAATGTACGTATCTGAGTGAGCAATGTACGTATCTGAGGAGGCGTGTGCACGCACGACGTATCTAAAGAGTGGTGGGCGTGAGTTGCGCGTGACGTACCTGAAGAGCTAGGAGGGATGCGGTGAAGAGAGGGGTGTGCAATGTATTTACGGGAGACGCGCGATTTCCGGGAGATTATCATTCATTTGCGGGCATTCCGGGAGTGTCTATGCATTTGCGCGATACTCCCACAACTTCCGGGAGACTTGGGATGTCTGGATTGTGGTCCTTCGTTTGAAGGGGTGTATACCCCTTGCCCTTAGCCTTTAGCCTTCAAGCTAAAGAGAATTAGGGTAAGAGGAAGGGCTAAGGGGTATAATTGGGATTGGGCCTTGGTGTCTTTAGTCCCTGAACTTCTTTTAAGTGTTGTGTAAAGGAATGGAAACATTACAAAGTGGTAAATGCTTTACTGTTCCAACTTTTTTTTAAATGTGTTGCAAGAACTATAATTGGAATATGTGTTTATGTGGTTATGTTTATGTGGAATAGTGGTGTTTATAAAAAACAACAACAATAAAAATCATGAGGAACCCTTTAAATAATGTTTGTTGTATTGTCTGCGGTGAAAAGTAAGGGTAAAAAAAAGTAGAGACAAAGTAAATTTAGAAATCTTTATTTTTTTATTTTATTTTGCATACTGTCCCAACTTTTTCAGATTTGGGGGTGTATAAAAAAAACCTGGTCTCACGAAATTTTGAAGACAAATGTTTGCCAATATGCAAATTTGTATAGTATAGTATAGAATTGTATAGTATAGTATTTTTCATGGCATAGTTGACCAACATTGAATACAGTTTTCACAAATCAAACCTAAAACTTTATAAGTCCACGATGAATTAATTATAATAATGAAGAATGGTTTTAAAGGCATAATATGTCAAATGTTTTCATTAAAATATCCAAAAACCACTACAACTGTTATATATTTTGCTGAATTATGTGTTTCAAGTTATGTATCATTTCAAATGTTTCGAAGAATGTTTAAATCCAGAGAAATATGCATTTTAACAAGTGAGACGGAGCATGTCCCATAGTATGTAATGAACTCCCATGATTCTACACTCTGCCTTTTTGATGTGAATACACACCCTCTAGTGGCGAAAATTATATACTGAGCATTTAAGTCAATTATTTATAGCTTTTGGTCATCTCTTGTGTTTTGTACATAGTGAGATATTGTACTTTGAGAGATCTTCTGTGTGTTCTTACATGGCATTCATGTGGTTTTTCTCCTGTGTGAACCTGGATGTGCTTCTGAAGGTGAGCCAGCTGGGAAAAGCTCCTCCTGCAGATGTTGCATCTGTAGGGTTTCTCACCGCTGTGGACCCTCAGGTGGACCTGGAGATCAGATAGTAAAAATTTAGGTTTTATTAGTCAATGTTATCTTATTTTTCTGCTTATCTGTTGTGGGGTTTGTAAATGTCTATACTTGGAAAATGGAAAAATAATTATTTAAACCAAAAGAGTGATTCGTAATAAAGTACCTTCAGGTTGGAGAGCTGACTAAAGTTCTTCCCACACACGTTACATGTGTACTGGATCTTTCCATTCTGTCTCTGTAAGGGATATGGTAAAGACCTGTAACCTTGCACAGTCTGCTTTATGGCATCATGAGACTCTGTGGTGGAGGAGGAGGAGCCATCTGCCGAAGCCCTGCCCATGTTCAATGAGGCCACGCCCGTGTGTAATGACTTGGCTGTGATGTCATCAGCACGGTATAATGAAGAATGAGTTGCATTACTCAAGGCTGGTGGCTGGCTATGAGCCAACTTTATTGAGTCCTCAGGTTTATTCTTAGTCTTTATAGAGTCTGTCGCTTCATTTCTGAAGTTGCTTTTTTTAATTGACACTAATGAAAAGTGATTCCTATTGGATGTTGGACTCAAAGAAGATGGATACATGTGGACTAGTTGAAGGGGAATGTTATGAGGCATGTATTGAATAATAGGCAGTGTATACCTTGGCAGAGAGGATTGTGGGAAAGCAGAGGTATAAACATGTCTTTGTATGTTGTCGAAGATGCTGTAAGTTGCTGAAGATGAAGCCAGTTTTGGATTCTGCAGATCTCTGGTCACTTTTCTCTCATGTTTAGACTGTGCATTGGTGCTGAATGGTTTGTTTAGAGGAGTTTCGGTGTGATGGTCAGTCCGGGGGTCCAGATCCAGGATCTCAGTCACAGTGTAACCTCTTTTTCTCTTTCTAACTTTACCTTGAGGATCAGCTGAAAGTGCAAAAAGTGATTTAGAAAATATTTGAGAGGAAGGTAAAAATAATAAAAACATTTTCAATTTAAGCAATGAATTTGGTAATCGTTTGAAATATGAGAACCACTTTGACAAAAACAGACATGGCTGTGTACAGTAAATAGTGTTAAAGAGTCAATGATGTTAAACAGTGTTTTTACACCTTTACCAAAGTCTTTTGTTTTATTTTTAAATTATTTTAATAATTTTTAAATATTACAAATTTACATACAGATGCATACTCCATCACATTATATCAGATTCTGATATTTTTGAGTTCTGTAGTATAGTATAGTATAGTATATTACAGTACAGTATAAAAAAGTAGACTATAGAATGGTATAGTATAGTATAGTACAGTATAGTATAAAAATTATAGTATAGAATGGTTTAGTATAGTTTAGTATAGTATAGTATGGTATAGTATAGGAAAGTATTGTATGATATAGTATGGTATGGTATAGTATGGTATAGGAAAGTATTGTTTGATATAGTATGGTATGGTATAGTATATTATAGGAAAGTATTGTATGATATATTATGGTATGGTATAGTATGGTATAGTATAGGAAAGTATTGTATGATATAGTATAGTATGGTATAGTATAGGAAAGTATTGTATGATATAGTATGGTATGGTATAGTATAGTATAAATTAGTATAGTAAAGTATTGTATGGTATAGTATAGGATATGATAGGGTAGGACAGGAAAGTATTGTATGGTATAGTATAGTATAGTACAGTACAGTATGGTAAAGTATAGTATGGTACAGTATAATATAGTATGGTATAGTAAAGTTAAGCATAGTATAGTATAAAATAGTATAGTATAGTAAAGTATGGTATAGTATAGTATAGTATAGTATAAATCCCAACATTAAATTACAATCACTTACTCTCCTAAATGTCATTTAATTCCATCTTAAATGTCAAATTTTTTCTTATATTTAGGTTTATTCTGATTTTTAAATGGTGCAGATTAAAGAAGACAGGCAAATCATCCTACAGGCTCATGCATAGACTACGAATTTTTATTTGATGCAAAAGCAAATAGATTCATTTCTACAGTGCTCCACTGAAGCAACGAGCCACCCTTGTGCACAGTAAGCCATTGAAAAAAATGGGTTTCATAGCACAGCTCTTTACGCGTCTGGTGTGAAAGCCACTTCACTTCACGCAGGGCCCGGCTTACACGATGTGATTTTTAATACACCTAAATGATTGTAACATGTCACAAACTTCCATGTCACACTGTAAGATCTCAGCTGTCATAATGTCAGAATGAAGATCAATAAAGTCACGCAAAACATGGAAGAAAACTCATCAGTTTGATGCCATCCATGCGTGACACTTTTTACTGCCACATTCTGAAATGATTCCTTACAGCAAGTACAATGAGCAAATATCACAGAGTCTAGCTTAGGATTTCCCAAATTGTCTCAGACGAGCAAATAGTGGCTGAAATTGCACATTGTGAGCAGGACTTTAGGCTGGAGGGAGAGTGAAACCAGCGCGCTGAACACTGTAGAGGAGCATGGCCTTTTTTTCCAGTATTTGTTTTGTTTTGCCCATTTTTCTCTTCTGGCCAAAAACCGAAAATGCCAAACTTCAGTGCATGTCTGTGATCTCAATCAGAAAAGAAGTTTGCAAACCAAACCAAGCAAACCAGTGTTTGCTGAGGTTGTGGATAAATGATACTGCAGTTTCTTGCACACAAGTTTCTTATGATCAGGAGTCGTGGCGGGTAATAATTTTGTGTTGCCTACATATGCATTTTTGACTCTTAAAGATCAGGTAGCCAATATTTTCAGTGTAAAATCCATAATTTGATTTAATATAATTTATTCAAAGTGCTCAAATACATGTGGAGCTTATATGTTTAGTACATTTGCTGATTTCGCCCTACCCCTTTGCTTTTGATGGTTTGCTCTGCCTTTATTGGACTGTATTAAGTTATATTAAAAGATTTGAAAGTGAAAGCTTTTGTGTTAAAAAAAAAGTAAAAGTTTGTTGATATACTGCATGAGCATTCGGTTCATTATTAGCCCGGCTAAAAAATTCTAATACTACATTCAGTTTATAATTGTCTTTAATGCTCTACTGAAGAAACACAAAGTCAAATTTTCAGTCAAACTGACTGAGAGCAAACTTTACAATCCTTTTACTGTTCTTTAAAAATACTGATTATGAATAAATAAATGTATTTACTTTTACTATACTCCACGTGCAGGTAAATGACTTATAATAGCATGAAAGTCAATCTGCTGTCACTCACTGTGTGTGGGAGGTGGCTGTTTCAGACCGGAAGTCCTAAGACTGCTGCTCATTGGCTGCCTGTACTCTAGGCTCCGCCCCACCATTAGCTCCTCCCCAGGCATTATAACCTTCATGGCGCTGAAGTAAATCTGCATTCCTACTTGAAACGGGGCAAGATTCTGCTGCCAAGGAGATTGAGCGGAGTTTATGAAGCACATCCAGTTGCTGGAGCTCTCTTCCTCACAGGACAACAAATGATCCAAACGCCCAGCTGAATAAACCTGAGAGACAGAATTAAATATATCCACATTTTAACAGAAGACCTCATCTTAAAGTATTAATTAACCTCTTTTTTACCTTTTTTGTTATTGGCAGCAGTAAAAAATAACAGTTTTGGAGTCATTTTATACATTTTAAATTATATGTATATTTCGAAATATTAAAAAAAGGCCAACAATACACTGACATAATTTCATGATGAATAGAAAGCATCAGCAACAGCATTCAAAATACACTCATCGGCCACTTTATTACGTACACCTGCACAACTGTTCGTTAATGAAAATTTCTAATCAGCCAATCACATGGCAGCAACTCGATGCATTTAGGCATGTAGACATGGTCAAGACGATCTGCTGCAGTTCAAACCGAGCATCAGAATGAGGAAGAAAGGGGATTTAAGTGACTTTGATCATGGCATTGGTGCTTGCTGATCTGAATATTTCAGAAACTGCTGATCTACTGGGATTTTTACGCACAACCATCTCTAGGGTTTACAGAGAATGGTCCAAAAAAGAGAGAATATCCAGTGAGTGACAGTACCAAATGCCTTTGATGCCAGAGGTCAGAGAAGAATGGCCAGACTGGTTCCAGCTGATAAAAAAGGCAACAGTAACTCAAATAACCACTTGTTACAACTGAGGTCTGCAGAAGAGCATCTCTGAACGCACAACACGTCCAACCTTGAGGCAGATGGGCTACAGCAGCAGAAGACCACACTGGTGACACTCCTGTCAGCTAACAACAGGAAACTGAGGCTACAATTTGCACAGGCTCACCAACATTGGACAATAGAAGATTGGAAAAACCGGCTCAGATTTGGCATAAAGCTGGCATTTATTTGGCACTGGCATACAGCATGTGGGCCAAACATGGCCCGGGTTTGACAGAGGTGGCACTGTCTTTAAGGCCGCGCACAAGATTTGGGCCAAATGTCAAATGTTGTGTTTGACCCAGATGTTAAAAATGTATATGTGGGCCAATAAGTTTGGCCTGTCTTGACCCACATTTATATTACTTTTGAATAAAGAAAAAGATTCTACTAATTAGGTCGCATTGCCTATAGTGTGTCTAAAGCCCAATGCTTCATGGGTTTATCAATTTAATTGCAGTTGTGACACACCAACATTTCTGGCCCAGTTCTGGGTTATTAACTTGGCTGCGACTTGGCCTAGATATGGTCCATGTTTGGCCCTTGTCTGAAAGCCAGACTTGGTCCAGTCATGTACCGTAATTCACTGCGCCATGTGGGTCAAGCAAAAGCTGATTGTGTGGACCAGAGCAGGGCCAGAAAAGGTTGCTATATGGGCTGCCATGCCCTCGTTTAAAGTCACTTAAATCATGTTTCTTCCCCATTCTGATGCTCGGTTTGGTAGAAAATATTTTTCAAAGAAAATAATTAGACAAAATATAATTAAGCATTTTAAATATATATTTTTAAACATATTTTATTGACCTCATTCTAAAATGTGAAAGTGCGCCTGTTTTCGCGATTGTCTTAGAACTTCAGATTCAGTCGCCTATGGGAGAAATGACAAGGAATAATAAACGACAGACAACTACTTACTCTACAAACAAATGTTTGCATGACTATACAGACCAAGTAGAATACTAAAACAAGGAAATATCAGTTTGCAACATCAAACAGCGTAACGAGCAGTTTTTAATGTCTAAAAATAAATGGACGTGAATGAGACCGGAAGTCTCAAGCCAAAAACATTTAAATGGCTGCGCCCGCTCGTCGGCAAAGAATAAGGTGAATAAAATATACAAGAAAATTAAGAGAATCTTTATTTGCTCTGCAAGACTTCTAAATAAAAAATACTATTAGGGAGCATAAATAAAAAATATTATTATTGAATAATAATAATTAATAAAAAACTGTCACTGTCTTATAACTGCTAATGTAACAGGGAAAAAAATCACTAAAAGTTATTGAGAGGAAAATAATATACATGAGATACTGTAAATATTTAATATTTTTAAAAAATCTACCAAACACCAAAAACTCTTAAATATTCAGCCTAAATAATACATTTTTTATTGTAAACTATATTTTACAATTCTTTTTTTAATATTTTTAAAAATATATATTTAAAACACTAACATACATGCCAATGTGTTTTTGTGGAAACTAATTAGGCAAAATATAATTGTAAACGTTTTAAATATCTATAGTGAATGAGTGCATGGATGGGTGTTTCCCAGAGATGGGTAGCAGCTGGAAGGCCATCTGCTGCGTATGGCATATTTTTAAAAACATATTTTATAAAACATACAAAAAACAATTAAGCAAATCTTTATTTGCTCTGCAAAACTTCTAAATAAAAAATACTATTAAAGGGATAAATTAAAACACACAAACAAATAAATAATAATATTATTGAATATTAATTAATTCATAAAAAACTGCCACTGTCTCATCTCTGCCATTGTAAAAGACAAAAACAAATCACAAAAAAATCTTTAGAGGAACATAATTTACATGAGATATGTTACTCTAAGAGACTTTAGAGCGCATTATTCAATATACAGTTGAAGCCCCCCTGAACTTTTAGCCTCCTGTTTATTTTTTTCCCCCAATTTCTGTTTAATGGAAAGAAGATTTTTTCAACACATTTCTAAACATAATAGTTTTAATAACTCATCTCTAATAACTGATTTATTTTATCTTTGCCATGATGACAGTAAATAATATTTGACTAGATATTTTTCAAGACACTTCTATACAGCTTAAAGTGACATTTAAAGGCTGAACTAGGTTAATTAGGTTAACTAGGCAGGTTAGGGTAATTAGGCAAGTTATTGGATAACGATGGTTTGTTCTGTTGTAGACTATTGAAAATTAATATAGCTTAAAAGAGCAAATAATTTTGTCCTTAAATGGTGTTTAAAATTAATTCGGACTTCAACTGTGTTGTTATAACTTTAAAAAAATAATGAATACTTTATACTAGATATTGAAAAAGTTTGACAGATGTTTTTTTTTTTTTCCTCTACGATAAACACTGCGATATAAATACAATTTCACCAGACAACTTAAATAGTTCCATTCATTTAGATTGACAGGGGAGTGATATAGAAATATATTTTACGTAATTAATTATATGCATGTAATAAACAAACTACAGTCATAAATAACACAGTGGAGCAAATATTAAAGTGAAAAAAGGGCTCTATGGTTTTCTGGGAAGAGTCGAACAGTTTTCAGGTACAGAAGGTGAATAATAAAATATTAAATTAAACTTCCTCATGGGCAACACAAGGGCGCAGTGGGTAGCACAATCGCCTCACAGCAAGAAGGTCACTAGTTCAAGCCCCGGCTGGGTCAGTTTGCATTTCTGTGTGGAGTTTGCATGTTCTCCCAATGTTTGCGAGGGTTTCTTCCCCGTGCTCCGGTTTCCCTTATAAATCCAAAGACATGTGGTACAGGTGAATTGGGTAAGCTACAGTAAGTTGTCTGTCGTGTATGTGTATGAATGAGTGTGTATGGATGTTTCCTCATCCACTGCGTAAAACATATGCTGGATAAGTTGGCGGTTCATTCCGCTGTGGCAACCCCAGATTAATAAAAAATGAATGAATGAAACTTCATCATATAAATAATTCAATGAAATTAATCTTTCTTAAAGCACTATAAAAATGCTTTAAACTCTCTTGAAATGCTCACACACTCCCAGGCCTTTAAACACGCTATTATGGTCACATTCTGCAGTGTCTCCTTAAATCTCATGTGTTTTGAACTGTGGTTTCAACACTGTATATCTTGCGATGTGACTATTGCGATATCGATGCTGAAACGATATGTTGTGCAGCCCCACACATTCCACTGCAAGGTTAAAAATGTATTTATTGACCCTTAAAAACATTCTGAAATAGATTTTGGTTTATTGAAGTTGAAATAAAAATATTTTATTGAGACAAATTTAGCGTATATTTAAAATACATTTCAACCACAATTAGTGTTTTCCTCTCTTTGATTGCAGTGCTCTGTGATCTTCCTTTTAGTGTGAGTCACAGTGTGAAAGTGAGAGCGTGTGGTTGAGTTGCTGATTCGGTTTTCTAGCCGCTGGATGAACGGCTCGTCTGTTTGACCTCACGACACCTGTTTCTCTCTTTCTGTTGTCACTTTAGTTCATCCTGTCTAATACTGAGCTTCAGAAACTAAACTTGCACATTTATGAACTTGCCTTATGTGCATTGCAGTCATACAGAGATATTTCATTTGGAGTAATATTTAACTCTCTAGATTCTGTTGTCAGGAGTGTTATTATGTTTATTAAGGTCTATTTTAGTATACAAAACATAGACTGTTTAAATGTTTAGTGTTTTAAAGTCTGTACTGCTCACAGAGATATATTTAATAAAAATACATGAACATACGTGTCATTTTAATATAACAGATTTAAAAAATAAATTAAAAAGATTTCATTTACTCCTGTGATGGAAAAAGCTGAATTTTAAGCAGTCATTGCTAATTTGTTATAGTCTGCAGCTCAAAACGCATTTAATTGTTTAACATATTTTATTATTTATAGATTTTTTTTTTTGCATTGTCAAATTTTCATGTAAAATTTAACAGATTTTCATTATATATATATTTTCATTTTAAATTGTATCTTTTGCGGTCAGTTGGCATTTCTGTGTGGAGTTTGCATGCTCTCACTGTGTTCGTGTGGGTTTCCTCCAGGTGCTCCGGTTTCTCCCACAGTCCAAACAAATGCGCTATAGGTGAATTGGGTAAGCATAATTGTCCGTAGAGTATGTGTGAGAATGAGAGTGTATGGGTCTTTCCCAGTGATGGTTTGCAGCTGGTTTAAAAATAGAAATGTAATATTAATATGAATTAATAAAAAAATGTAATGCAAATTTAAATTGATTATTTAATGTGGTTTAATGTTTTTGTTATGATATTTGTAAATGTAAGTTACATATACACTCACCGGCCACTTTATTAGGTACACCTTACTATTAGTGGGTGTGACCCCCTTTTGCCTTAATCCTTCGTGGCATAGATTCAACAAGGTACTGGAAATATTCCTCAGAGATTTTGCTCCATATTGACATGATAGCATCACGCAGTTGCTGCAGATTTGTCGGCTGCACATGCATGATGCAAATCTCCCGTTCCACCACATCCCAAAGGTGCTCTATTGGATTGAGACCTGGTTACTGTGGAGGCCATTTGAGTACAGTGAACTCATTATCATGTTCAAGAAACCAGTCTGAGATGATTTGCGCTTTATAACATGGCTTGCTATCCTGCTGGAAGCAGCCATCCACACCATTACACCACCACCACCATCAGCCTGAACTGTTGATTCAAGGCAGGATGGATCCATGCTTTCATGTTGCTCACACCAAATTCTGAACTTAAGATTTGAATGTCACAGCAGAAATCGAGACTCATCAGACCAGGCAACGTTTTTCGAATTTTCTATAGTCCAATTTTGGTGAGCCTGTGTGAATTGTACCCTCAGTTTCCTGTTAGCTAACAAGAGTAGCACCCAGTGTGCTCTTTTGCTGTTGTAGCCCATCCACCTCAAGGTTCAATATGTGTGCATTCAGAGATGGTCTTCTGCAGACCAAAGTCACTTAAATCATCTTTCTTCGCCATTCTGATGCTCGATTTGCAGCAGATTATCTTGACCATGTCTACATGCCTAAATGCATTGAGTTGCTGCCATGTGATTGGCTGATTAGAAATTTGCATTAACAAGCAGTTGGACAGGTGTACCTAATAAAGTGGCCAGTGAGTATGTATGTATGTGTGTATATATATATATATATATATATATATATATATATATATATATGTAAAACATGTTAAAACTCCATACGCTTAAATGTTCAGTCTGAAAAGTATTTATTGTAAGCTACCTGTTAAATATTTTATAATATTTTTATAAGAAATATGTTTGTGTGATAAAGTTTAAACATTAAATAAATAATGGAATTAGGTCACATTTGGA